TGACATTAAAACAAGTGTGATATTTGCATTTACACTCAGCTATTCCCGTATTTATAACATAACCAGTTGGAGTAGACAATCATAATAGATGAATAGGGGAGAATTTTACCTTTGGTTATCCAATATGCTTAGATCTATGTTTTTATCTTACATTAACATGATTAATGTGAACTTAATTTGACCAGTCTGATGAATTGGCCAGTGATGACAAGTTAACGTTAGTATTAGCTTTCTTAAACCCTCAACTCAGAAGGTCTAATTATTAGCAAACAATGAATCTGGACATGAAACATCAAAGAGATTATGCTAATCAATTGCACAAATATTTAAGATATACATGTCTGTTAAGATTCCGTTGTTTACAACTGCTGAACCTTATAACATTTAGGAAATTCCCATGGTTATACATCTTTTTTTTCAATTATAGCACAGTACAAAAAATGCTGTAAAATGATACGTTACCGATCGGAACCCATTATAAATTATTGTTTAAAGAGAGCAAGTGCAAAAATTAAACAAGACAAAATTGTTACAATGAGTAGATTTTAATGATTGCTTACTTTATTAAAAATTAAGCAAAACACCTCTAATTTCTTGCACAGGCGCTCCCCATGTAATTCTGTAAATGACGAATGATAAGTATATATATATATATATATATATATATATATATATATATATATATAGGTCTACCCCTCAATACTATAAAATCAACAAGGTTGATTTTATAGTATTGAGGGGTAGACCTATATATATATATATATATATATATATATATATATATATATATATATATATATATATATATATATATATATATATATATATATACTTATCATTCCTCATTTACAGAATTACATGGGGAGCGCCTGTGATTTCTTGGTCATTTATCAAAGCATAATTAGAAGTGATGCACTAACTAATTGTTATTCTAAATGACAAATTCTCAATCTGTATTTATAAGTCAGTGATAGTTGTGAACAAACAATGTACACACTTGCATAACAAATCCAACAAGTATTCAAATCATTCTCTTTATTGTTTCAACAACCTAAGATTTATGGGTACACAGATAGGGCACTAGGTTTAGTTCGGGGGGAATTCAGCGATACGATACGCAAGGCCTTGACCTTTCAGCGATTCATGAGCTCTTTTGGAATGTCATTAATTTTATGTAAGCAGAAACAGCCATCCTCGCTACGTCCAGGCTTACAGGCTCACACTTTGACGTTGTGGGGATGCGACACAACATCAAATTCCCGTAAACAAAATTGAACAGTTATTAATCATTTACTTTACAAATGCGAATTATAGGCTGTGAGCACATAATGTTTTTCTACGTTTGTCAATTTGACATTTATCTAAGTTTTTTTTTCATTTCCACCACACTTGTTTCAACGTCGAAACAAAATCAGGTCTATAGAATTACTAAGTGATGCTTTATAACACGTGCGCTTTATGGAATGATTCATGGGTTCAGGCCCTTACCATGCACATCTATAAATTCCGTATTTCAGTTTCAGTTTTTTATTTAGTAATTTCGTTTTCTTTATTTAATAATTTCGTTTTCTTTATTTAATAATTTCGTTTGTCTTTTATTTAATAATTTCGTTTTTCTTTATTTAATAATTTCGTTTTCTTTATTTAATAATTTCGTTTTTCTTTATTTAATAATTTCGTTTGTCTTTTATTTATTAATTTCGTTTTCTTTATTCAATAATTTCGTTTTCTTTATTTAATAATTTCGTTTGTTTCTTTATTTAGTAATTTCGTTTTCTTTATTTAATAATTCCGTTTTTTATTTAATAATTTCGTTTTTTATTTAATAATTTCGTTTTCTTTATATAATAATTTCGTTTTTTTGTTTCTTATTTTTTTGGTTTGCACTATTGGGCTTCCGTAGATAGCGGAATATTACTACACAAAGATGGAAAAGCTATAAGTTATCTCGTTTGTCATACAGTTTAGTTGTTAGTTAGCCCGTATCATCTATAATCAACAAAACATCCAAATATGAAAAATGTGGCCATGGCAGACTCTGAGGTGTCTTTATTTCGAGTTCACTGGGATATAGAGTTGATATATGAATGGAAGTAACTATTGTTGATTGATAAAACATAATCGATATAATATCTGATTGTCGAGTTGAAGGTTACAGGAAGTGTTTTCTTCTTCTCATATAGTTTTTGAATACAATTTGCATCATAGAACTAATATATATATATATATATATATATATATATATATATATATATATATATATATATATATATATATATATATATATATGTATGTATATAAACGGGTCATCTAATAAAGGAGCACAGTTAGTGTTTATCGAAATTCCAACAGTTTGTTGGCAGGCGTGATCTCCAAAGACTACACTGATATGTCAAGTGAACCCTTCTGTAATTATTAACCCATTTCTATGATGAAATTTTAGATCTTTAAGTAATTTCTGTAATAGAAATTCCCCCCCCCCCATACAACGATTCTTCACTTTGACAAGCACAGCAGTACTACATGCATATCTTTTTTTTTCAAAATATACTCCCAATAAGAATTTAGTAAGTTATATTGTGATTAGAGTTGACCAAGGGCTAACTGAATAATATAGCCTCAACCTATCCAAGAAATACCATGAAGGTTAAAATCTGATTTTCATTGTGTTCGCCACGTCCTACCCTCTTTCAATAACATTCACTACTTTAACTAACTTTTTCAGCATTTATAAACCCCTTTATCTTTACTTCGAAAGAGAAACAGATTGAACAGTCCACGTGACTTTTTTTAAGTTTGAGGAGTTAATCATTTAATCACAGGTGATACAATGATGACCGAGTCACTGAATCACATGTTTGGTGTAATATTTCATTTGTAGTGTGCTTATTTACACTCTTGTGAAAAAAAATTCAAGGGAGATCCAATGGAGTAAAAAATAAGGGGGGGGGGGGTCCCGACCCCAACCCCTAGGATTTTCAATTTATAATACAGAAATCAACGCATACCATTACTCCCCCTTACTCCAGCATGCTAGAGGCTTTTGACTTGGCGCCGCGTCCGAGGTATATAAAAAGCGTATGAACGTTAACCGAGGCTCTTACTTGTAGGAGTATACTCCCCCTATATTCCAACATATGAAAAATAGACAGGGTAAGTGTTGTTTTTTTTTTCATAAAATTTATTTGATTTTGATGACTTTTTGTTATATGAGTATATATAGTTGATGTTATAGCCATACATTTTGTATTTATATTTTTGATAGACACCATTCGAGAGAACAGGTTTGTGGGGTTTTGCCTGGACTTTGCTGAGGGAACGCCGATATTTGTGTCATTATGAAAAGAACCGAGAAGAAATCTGCAGTAGTTGAGAACAGACTGAACCCGTATGATTTTAAGTTCTTGTTTACTGACAGTCGTTTTTGACAAACATTTACAAATGTTATTATAAAGAAAGAATGTATTTAATGTTTTTATGGACAACAATAAATTATGTGGCGTATTTCCCATTTGACTTTGTTTATGCAGCTTGTCATTAAGAATGCAATGCATATTTCAGAAATTGGAGTTGTTATTTAGAGTACTTTTGGACGACATAGATAAAATTACTGATGGTTTGGAAATGGTCCAACGACGTAAAAAATCAGACTTTAAAAAAAGGACAAACTTGGGGTTTTTGTTTAAACTACCTAGAAATATGTCGGACCGATGTTGGGCCCTCTTATGCAAGGTGCAAGACGGATGAAGGGTGTTGTAACAAAACTGGTGCATTGATGGTGCACTGTTGGTTAAATGCTGCATAATATTGCGTCAGCTGTTAGGGGCAAGAGCAAAATTAAGGTAGGGTTAAGTTAAAAAGTCAGTGTTTACCAAGCATAGTTATTCTATCTGGCCGGGGTTGTCTGCTTGCCTGTATCCTGCTTTTTAACTGGATATGGACCTTTCCCTAGAAATCCAGCCTTGATGATAATAAATGGCACTCAGAGATGAAGTATATTCTACTTAAAAGGCTAGAAGTACCACGAGAATATCATTCAAAGTTCAGGTTTAAATTCCTGCGTATTTAAAACTGACTAAATAAAAATTTCACATTGTAAAACGACCGGGGTTTTTAACTTGAAATTCATGACGTATTATGCCCCTCCAAACCAAATATAGACTACCCTCGCCTTACTATTAAAAATGACATATACACTGGTACCTAAAAATGCTAAACTAATGTAACTATCTAAGTTTTCAACACTCATTTGCAGCAAGAATGGAGTAAAAAAATACTAATTTATACGTCCAACATTTCCCTATACGTGGCTTACACACTACGACTTCTTGGTTTTCCTTCTGCCTGGATTTTTATAGATATAATTAGATTACGATTCTTGTGGATCTTTTCTTAAATTAGTAATTGCATGTGTTTTTTTAAAAAAAAAATCATTGTGAATTGCATCAAAATGGCAAGTTGGTGTAACAAGTGTTTCTTTTCTTTTAAATATAGAATTATAAATATGAGCTACACAATACAAAACTACTTACCTGTAAAACGAAGTTATATTTGCTACTCGCCATACTTTACGATACAATATCCCATCCGCAGTAGACTGTGCACCCCTCTTATCTGGGGGTAAATTCGTGTAACAGCGCACTTAGTCAAGATTCCAGGATCATCAAGTACCGTCGACATTGCTTAAAGTGAACTGGCTATACGAATGTTTGACCATATGAAAGTTTCAAAGGAGTTCCTTCTACATTATTTTATTCTTCATTTTTTGATAATTTTTAGCATGGATTTTTTTTAAATCCGACTTATCTGCGGTTTTTTTTTATCACATCCTTAAGATTAAGAGAAGATACTTGTGAGGAGATATTGATATCATTTAAATAGAACACGTTGGATGTTTTTCAATCATCTTGACACATTGTCATTGGTCAGATGAGTACGTTCAGATGTCCTGTTTTATGAACGCTCAACAAATCCCCATAATTTAAACCTTTTAAGACACGAATAGTTTAATATTTTAATATTGCAAATACGTGGTAAAAGAAGTCCATTCTCTTAGAAGTTGTTACAAGTTACACAATACGTATACAGAGCAATATACATGATTTGTATAAATAAATTACTATAAAACACTGATGAATGGATCTTTAATCACTTTTATCCCTCTTTTAGACAAGTAGACAAATTTGTTTTCCATACACTTGTGCCACCACTTGCAGTATAATTTATTGCTGTCTCCTAAAACTGAATGCTGCATTATATTACATGATGACGAAAGTTCTTCAAACACCACTAGTGCACTGTTAGGACTGAGCATGCGCAGATATCTGATAGCTCCATACTGTGAGAGGACCGACATCAGATCTGGAAGATTATACCCGTTTATATCTCTTTTTCGCTGCCACCTCACAACAATGGTTGAATACGGGAGCTGTAATCGCTTGTTTATAATATCCTGTTTGATCAAGCTGTTAAAAGAAAAAGGAAATATATGTTGCATTGTTTAAAATTTATTATTTATAACAACCATCAGGTGTGTTCTGACATATTACCTTGACATACCTTGCAGGGTGTAAGGAGGTATCATTCCTGTTATTCCGTGTTTGTGTTGTATACATTAAAGCGTTCCTAAGGCACCTGTTCGTATTTTCATGACATGTACATTTAGAGTTCTGACTGCTGTGTTCATTCTCTGTAATGTACAAAAGCTTTTTACACATATTTACATAAACTATTTCAGCAATTAAACAGACGCTGTGTGTGCTCGTAGTTTTATTCCTATGATACTCCTTGTTTGTCAATTCATGAACAAGAATGTGAAGTAATCTGAAAGCTGAAACAAAAAGAAAGAGACTTTTTGTCAGAGTAAAATGAATAACGGAATCATAATCATATTATTTGTAGATTTTGAGTACACTAGTTAGAGATAAATACAGAATTTACAATATATTAACTCGTTATCATATTGTACTGTTGTCCTTAAAACAATGACACATTGACGGGTCCAGCAAATGTTCTACCAAGCCCTCACAAAAATATTTTTTTTTATTGCTGGAGAAACTTTAGATATACTGTACTAAAGCATGTTTTAGAAATGGTGTAAATAAAGTCTGCATTCTCAAAAACTCCCAAGAACTTTTCAGAAGTCAGTAATGTATGACAATATTTCTACACTTTATACAACCATTCCTAAGAGTAAATTAAACACTACGCTTTTGACATTGTAGACAACAGCTTCTTCAATAAAAAGGAAACTCAGAAGTTTTCACATATTGTGATTGGTCATCAACAAAATCACTTTGTTAAGAATCTCTCTGATTCTACACCTAAGTACTCTGAAGTTGATATTAAAAAGATGCTGGAGCTCCTCATAGACAACATTTATGCAATCTTCAGAGACCAGGTCTTCCAACAAACTGTTGGAATGGCGATAGGCATTAATTGTGCTCAATCTGTATTAGTCGACCTGTTTTTATATTCTTATGAAGCAAAATTTATTCAAAAACTTCTATATGAGAAGAAAATAACACTTGCTGTGGCCCCCAACTCGAGTATCAGATATACTGAAGACGTTTTATTAATCTACAATAGTTACTTCCATTCACATGTGGACTCGATATATCCCAGTGAACTCGAAATAAAAGACAACACAGAGTTTGCCACATATGTTTCACTGACTATAGACGATAAGGGCCAACTAACAACTAAATTGTATGACAAACGAGATGACCAGCTTTTTCATCGTCAACTTTATTTATTTTTCTTTTATAGATATATCAATATTCCGCTATCACTTACATAATGCGTTTATGTCTCCCAACTTAGTCGATACTAAAAAGCATGTTCTAAGTACGATCATTTTTTAACCGAGGCAGGCTACTGACAGATACTAGTAGTAAGTTGGTTTTAGAGGGATCTCAACAACATCCTTTAAAGTCAGCATTTCGTAAATTCTATGATTTTTAAAATGGCTTTGTTAGCAAATATAAGCTATCAGAGGGTCGAATATTGACTGACATACTTCATACCGATTATTAAGTCTTTTATGTTTACACTTGATTTGATTACGGAATATTCCATCAATACATAATCAATACATAGGACTCAGGGCGGGTGTGACTGGTCGATAGGGGATGCTTACTCCTCCCAGACACCTGATCTCATATCTGACATTTCCTCGGGTTCGTATTTTTGACTTGTTCACAGTTTTGTATTGTTTATAGGTTTTTTAGATCGATCACTGTTAGTTGTTTTTACTTTTTATGCCTCCGTAATCGAAGATTGGGGGCATATAGTTTTTTTTTTTGCCCTGTCCGTCCGTCTGTCTGATTGTCTGTAAAAACTTTAACATTGCCCATAACTTTTGATTGGTTGAAGCTACGGCTTTCATATTTCACAAGTGTATTTCTTGTGACAAGACCTTTCTTTTGGTACCAACATATTTGACCTTTTGATCATGACCTTGGAGTTTGACCCACTTTTGCAATATTTTACCAAACTTTAAGCTTGGCCATAAGTTTTGATTGGTTGATGCAAGGGCTTTCATATTTCACATGTATATTTCTTGTGTACAAGACCTTCCTTTGGGGACCAACAATTTTGACCTTTTGACCTTGACCTTGGAGATTGACCTACTTTTGAAAAAACTTTAACCTTGGCCATAACTTTTGAATTTTTGGTGCTAAAGCTTTCATATTTGTATATATCCTTGCGATAAGGCCTTCCCGTGTGCACTAATTTTGAACTTGAGCTTGGAGTTTAACTTATTTTGAAAAACTTTAACCTTGGCCATAACATTTGAAAGGTTGGTGCTAGGGTTTTCATCATTCTCAGGTGTATTCCTTGTGACTAAACCTTTCTTTGGGTACCAACATATTTGATCCCTTGACCTAAGAGTTTGATTTGCATTTTAGAAACTTTAACTCTCCCAACGGGATGCCATGCAGGGGCATCAGTGAGTGTTTTACATCTTTTTTTTTTGTATTAGCCTCCAACAGAAAAATAATTCAGAATGTACAGCGTGATAATCAACTGGAATTGCAAAAGATCACATGACTGCCACAAAATTTAAATATATATATTAAAAAAGTATTAATCATATCTACCGTATATCCTCCTAATCAAAAATAAATTTAATTTCAAAATTAGTTTGTAACAGAAGAATATAGTGACTCTGCCAAACAATTTTCTGGTATTTTACTGCTACATGTATCTTTCAATCTGTACATTAATTAAATTGTCTATTTACCTTTAAAGAATTTGGCAAGTGGACCATTGTCTGCCAGGTAGCGACCTCGGACTAAAGACACCGGCTGTAGGGGATCTGTTAGTCTGTAATATAAACGACGATAGCTCGCCTCCTGTCAGAGAGTAGAGAAAAATAGAATTGAATAAGGGGAGTAACTGGAAGATAAAATTATTTGTACATGTGCAATACTCTAGGAAAGAAGTTGCAGATCTGCTTTGCTAATTTTTTTCTATCTCGTAACAAATAAGACAAATGGATCCTCATGGGTTCTAATGATAATTAAAACACATTTTGATTGTTGAGGAATGTGTAGTTCAATCAAACTGCAGATCTGTGATAGAAAATGCTGATAGGTGGTCATAGAAACAAGAGGGCCCGAAAGCATGACTCCAGTGTATACCATTCATCAGTTTTTAAATGAGAGATACTAAATCATAAATTTCTTTTAAAGAAACGAGAAAGTGCATGTATGCACACCTGTGTTATCAACAATATTATCCATTTTCTTAAAAAATCTTGAGTTTCCAAATTTTATATATAAGATAAGAAAGAGCACAATGATGACAAGCTACATACCCATTAGCTAATCTTAGGTCATTCACAAATTTTTAGATCAGTATTTATCATAAGGTCTAAAAAAGGTCAAATAAGAAAATGTTACACCAAAATTCATGTCTGTGAAGCAAACGGTTCTCAAGATATGAGTTTACAATATCTTCCTATGTCTAATGTTTATGTTATATGACCCTTGAACTTTGACCTTGTAACTGCAAAATCAACAAGGGGTCATCTAATCACTAGAGGTTACAGGTGTGTCAAGTTTGATGTCTGTTAAGGAGCGGTCAGCATCTTGCTATGTTCAGTTTGACTTTTGATCTTGGGATTTCAAAATTCATAGGAGTCATCTACGCCTCAGGGGGTACCAGTGTACCAAATTTAAAGTCTTCCAGCAGAGGGTTCTCAAGATACTGAGCGGTCAATATCTTTCTATGCATAGTTTGGCCCTTGACTTTTAATCTTGTGACCTCAAAATAAACAAGAGATGTTTGTGAAACACTTATGCCCCTCCCCCAATAATTGGAATTTTTCTAAGTCCCAAGGGACATAACTCTGTCAAAATTGCTCGATCGTACCCAAAACAGAACTTGACCTAGATATTTTTATGACCAAATTTCACCTCAGTATGTGCAACCTCTGCCAAGAAAATGAACGGAAACTACAAATAATTGGAAGGGGTTTTTCAAAGTCGAAAGGGCATAACTCTGTCGATCAAAATTGCTCGATCGTACCAAAAACATAACTTGAACTAGATATTTTTATGATAAATCTGTATCCCAAATTTCATTTCAGTATGTGCAACCTCTGCTAAGAAAATGAACGGAAACTGCAAATAATTGGAATTTTTTCAAAGTCTAAGGAGCATAACTCTGACAAAAATGGCTCAATCGTACCAAAACATAACTTGACCTAGATATTTTTATGATAAATCTGTATACCAAATTTCATTTCAGTGTGTGCAACCTCAAAATCAATAGGGATTATTTATTTCGGGGGGGGGGGGATGTACAAAGTTTCATTTCGTCAAACAAAGGGTTTTCAAGATATTGAGTGGAAACATTTGGTCTCCACCGACCGACATACCGACAAACCGAGCGACAGGTGCAAAGCAATATGCTCCCTTTTTCAAGATGGGCATAAAAAAAATGAAGAATATGACCGGAAAAGAACTCTGAAAAGGTGACCGCTCTGTTTGGCATTCCTGCTTCGTGAATGAAAAATGTTTGAACTAAGCAACATCCAATGACAGTTTGACGGACAGAGAAGTACTTGACGTCTTGTTGGACGGGCGTTCTAATCTCTTACTATCTAGCATTGTAAACAATAAGGACGATTATTTAGGCATCAGACATCTTAAACTTATAATCCCAGTAGTTAAATATTATGGAGATAAACTGAAGTATAGAAATTCCGTATAACAACCAAAATTAAGACATACAGGGAATTTTTGTTATATGTTATCTGCATAGGCACTTGACGTTCCAAATTTTCTTATTAAAAAATATAACCCCTACCTAGTAAATTATTAGGTAGTGGTTATATTTTTTTTATAAGAAAAATATGTAACGTGAAGTTTCTGTGGTTATCTAAATATATTTTTTAATGCATGGCCGTAGGAACCGGTGGGGGGGGGGGGGGGTTGCCCAAATAATTTTGCCGATATATAGAATACTATAGAAAACATAGCTACTGTATGCTCGGCACGGCCTTTTTTCTTTTTTTTAAGCTTGTCAAGGAATTTTGGTAGTTGATAGTGCCCGCCCCCCCCCCCCCAACTGAAAATGTATGGTTGTGTCCCCTCAAAGTGAAATTGCTACCTACGGGCCTGAAATGACAAATTGTTAACGCTTTCCAAAGTGTAATCAAGGTACAGAATATATTTCTATAGTCCAGTCAAGTTAGTGAAAATACAAACTAATTGCAACAGAAAGTATTTTTAATACTTTACTAATAAAATCATAACCTAGGGGAATAACCTGTACTATAGAAAAAGAAGCGTAACTCTATCATGTTGTAAATTTTGAATTTACAAGGTGGATACAACATGCTAACGGTTATCGTGTTAATTGTAAATATTGCATTTACCTCCCTTAGTAAATTCAAAATTTACAACATTATAACTGTAAATTATCCATAGAAAAGATTTTTTTTAAACCCATAAATGTCCCTTATTTTAAGAATTAGTACTTACCTATCATTTTATTCAGTGTATAAATACTAAATTTAATTAAAAAAAAAAATCCATAAAGCTTAGGACACAAAATCAGACTAATGTTTTGATAACGTCTACCCTAAAATTTTATTTTCAAGAGGTCAGGAAATGCAAAATACACTCTGAAGTGAGCCAAAGCATCTGTAATAATCATTTTGCTGGGTATAAAAGGTTTTACTCATCTATTAATGTCACTGTATAGAGTATAATTCACTTCCTCTATCTTCAATGTAGAAAATTGCATCAAACTTTTAAGTAAAATTTACTAAATGACCTTTTCTGTTGTAATTTTCATGGAGAATTTTTATGCACAAAATAATGCTTTCCCCTCTTCCGATTTTGTTAGATTTTTTCCACATATATTTAATTTTGTGCATTCAAGAGTTTATTTATAACAAAAGAAATTCTATTGCAATTAGTTTGATGTTTCATGTCCAACTGACCGGACTATTATGGGTTGAACACTTCAAACATTTAAAGAATTTTTTAATTTTCTAGGTAATTCCGCTTTTCAAAATTAAAAATATTACACAGCTAATAATAGTTCAAAATATATTGCAAACAATGTTCATGTATAGCGTGCATTTACTTCATAAAATGTGTACATAGATATTTTAGGTTTCCAAAAAAAAAAAAAAACAAACAAACAAACAAACAAACATATAATGAATATTCTGGAGCATGCCATGCAGTTATTCCCCTCTAATCACCAATAAATCCATCAATCCAGGGCCCAGCGCAGTTTTTTTAAAAACATTTTCTTGTTTTCTTTGGTTGAATGTTGCAGCTGTTGCAGAAGAAATACATAGCCTAATACTGCAATGTTAATTCCCATACTAACAAAGAAAGACATTTTATTTGTTTTATTTATGTCTGTATAAATATTCATAAAAAGTAGGATAAAGTACATTACAATAACACACAAAGACATCACTTTTTAGCTATTGATGTCATAAATACATGGTAAAAAATATCGTAATTTCCTTTGAAAGACAAAAATGTGATATTTGGAATTCACTTCCGGTGGTGACCGAAAGTAGTGACGACGTAAAAAAAAATAATGTTGCACATCTATCTGACATGCTCTATGATATCTTCATAAAAAACTATTAATTATTATCTCACAATCTTAAGTATATTATGAATTCGGAGAAGGGGTAAACTAAACCTCTTTTCAACTATTCCGGCGATTATTCGCAGAATACTGTGTCATCTATAGACCCGTACTTTGCCAACAAGACCATGAACATCTACAGAGGGATTTGGATACACTAGAGAACTGGAGCGACATCTGGCAAATGGGATTTAACATCAAGAAGTGCGCTATCATGCAGTTTGGAACATCAACAAGAAAGAAAGCCTTTAACTACACCTTGAAGGGGGGAGCCTCTCAAGATAGTAGATCACCATCCATACTTAGGATTTGAACTCAGTGACAACTTGAAGTACAACTTACACATAGACAACATCTGCAAGAAACCAGAGCCTAGTTCGACCAAAGTTAGAGTATGCAACACCAAAATGGAATCCACGACAGAAAACAGATAGAACAAGTACAACGAAATGCAGCGAGATTCGTTAACAACAAACCTTACAACCCAGAAAAACCAGACAGTGTAACATCTTTGATGCAGGAACTCAAATGGAACACTCTAGAGCAGAGACGTATTTGGACTAACGTAACACTTGTGTACAAAGTAGTCAACCAACTCATAGCAGTCCCAATATCATACCAACCTCCCCTAGCAACAGTACGAGGAACTAGGAACAGTCACTGACTGAAATTCATACCATACCACTGCCGAATTAACGTCTACCAACATTCATTTTTTCCAAGAACAATCTACTACTAGAACACTCTACCAGAATCAGCCATACTTTCACCATCGTTGGGGCAGTTTAAAACAGCTATTCAGAACCTCCAGCCCTGGAACACTTACCCTGTATACTAAGATACCAACAGTAACCTGTACAGTGTATAATTATATATGTTATGGAGTAACCTTTTTTCATTGGGACGCTGCCATTTCACTGCACGCATGCACATAGCTTTCTTGCCAATAAATATCCGCAGTGGATTTTGGCGAATATACACATTGAAGTTGAAGTCAATGAAAAAAGTTCGTATCTTCTGGTCATGTTAGTGCTCATTGCCCCGTAAGAAAAAAAACACACTGTTTTTCTATGATACTTACACTTTGACTACAAAACATTACATTTGATAAGACCTTTCTATTAATATCTGACAAAAGAGACTACCTCTTCCAGCTGTAAGAACAAACAACCATTGTACCGTACCCTAATTATAGCCTCAGCAAAATTTGGGGATACCACCATGTCCGTCTATGTGTGCAACTGTACCCGGGCCATAACTTTTAATAGCAAACATTGGAAGCTCATTTTTCACATAATGATTATTTATGACCAGAGAATGTGCTATGATCTTGATATACATGTAAAGTCATTTGGACAAGTTCAATGTCACGGGCAGAAAAAGTGTAAAAAAAAAAATCCTTTACAATTTTTTTCTCTAAAATGGCAAAACATTTGAAATTAATACTTCACACAAAGATTGCGTATGACCCGAAAATGTGTCATGATCTTGAACCAAGGCCACTTTGTAAATTTCAAGTTCACTATAAAGAAAATAAAAAAAGCTTGTCCTGGCCATATCTTGAAAAGGAGAAACACTTAAACTTCATACTTGAATCAAATATTTCATGTTATTTGAGACTGCGTTCTGAGCTTGACCCACGTTCGTTTGGTTTTCTATATCACACAGATCCGACGGACGACTTCTCGTTGCGTTGCAACGAGCTTTGCTCTAGTTATCATAAATATTGTGACAGAACGGATTATGTATAAGAGAGCGATTCACAGTCTCGTTCGACTTACAAGTCGAGATTTAAAAATGCTACCAAAAGAATAATACCCGAGGAGATGATTCTATTCCATTAGAAAAGCGAGCAACGGTAATAGATTTACATGTACTTGATCATAAAAAAAGAACAACAGACTACCTTAAGAAAATTATTTCCATGATACTTTCTGTAGTTTCGACTGAAGTAGAGTGGTAAATCAGTGTTATTTCTTCTAATAGGCTGTCCTACTATCATCTCGCCATGCATTTATATAGATCTAGTGAATATTTCGCATTTCATCGCATAAATTAACGTCACAATACTCTACTGTGACGTCATAATGTGATTTGAACTGTACTACTAAAACAAGGACAAAGCTGTCAGTATGACAGTATACACTTATCCACTGGTGTTGAGTGGGATAGCTCTTTTATGAAACCCGCGACAGGAACTATTCCCCGAGGGCTTGCCCGAGGGGAATAGTTTCTGTCAAGGGTTTGATGAAAGAGCTATCCCACTCAACACCAGTGGATAAGCGTTTTATTATACTGATGTATATCATAATTTCTGAGGGTTGAATTACCTGATACTACAGTTTCATAGGCAAAACATGAAAAAATTAATTATAAAAGTTTTGAACAAATATTTGGAATAAGATAACAGTGCTAGAATGAGCTGAAATCCTGATGACGCCACAATGCTACTGAAGTCAGGATGACATAAGATTGTTTACAGGAAATCAAAACTGGCGGCAAAAATTGCATGAAAATTTTCCGAGGGGTGGGTAGCAAAAACTATACCCCGGGGTATAGCTTTGTTATGCGTGGAAATTTTCAGACTATAAAAGATAGTTATTTTACCTTCTTAACTTTATATAGGAAACATTTTAACAGAAGTATAATAACACATATTACCCAACAAGCTCCAGACACCTCGAGCAGTATTAGTTACGCTACAACTTCATTATTCGTAGGGAAAGTAGTCCCGGAGATTGACACTGTATGGAGTAATGATTACCCATAGTTCTCTGCGTCGAACGCTGGTCCTGGCGGAAGTGTGTGACAGCAAACCAGGTTTTACACCTAACCCATCTGTCGACCCTGGAAATTTAATAATGTGCACATAAAAATCGGCAATGTTAATCAACAACTTTTTTTTTTTTTTGCATATAATGATCAAAATGAAAATTAAATCCAAGTACCATGCACATCTCTGATATATGATCTAGACTTTAAAAAAAAAACTTCCTTTTTTGAAAACTGTACCCAACAAATGATGTACACTATGAACAATATTTTGCATAAAAATGACTGTTCAGTAACTGGTGTTTTTTCTCATTAAGATCTCTTAATTATCAATTTATAAAAATGAAAATCTGAGTACTATGCATACCTCTTATATATGTTCAATTGATCTACAAAGAAAAAACTTTCTATCTTGAAAATTGTAGGAAGAGTTATCCGGGGAAATCATGTACCAAGTTGTCAACCTAGCACCCGCACGACATTTACAAACTTTTAATAACCGGTTAAAAAGTAGAAGGTTGTCCACTTTCAAAGTCTTCATTACAGAGAAATGCAGCTACCTAAATACTGAAAATAAAGGTTGCATATCTTCACTGATTATTTATAAAGTGATACATCATTATAAATAATCATTGAAAATGTCCAACTTTATTTTCTATTCTGTCCAACTCTATTTAGGTAGCTGTCATTTCTGTATAAATTGATACATCGTTAATTTATGACACATTGTTTGGTTTTACGTCAGCGACTCGTCTTTTCAATTCTCAAGTTCATTTATGATATCAACATTGCTTTCTAACAACAAATGAACACATATACCATATAATTATGGAAAGAGGGGATGACAAAATATGATCAATCCACATATCATGACATGTTCGAAATCAAATGACCATGCAGATAACAAAGTTTCTTATGTATTCATATGTATTTAAGCTTTCACACTCTACAGTTTAGTTCCATCCTAAATTCAGGCCATGATTTATAGACAATCCTTAATCTAATGTACAGCACTACAATACTGATCTCATCACAATTTTACAATTGTATACAGAAATATAATAAGATAATCGTAATTGTCGTTCTTCTGAAAAAATTATTTTGAAGCTTTTTCTTATGTTATCAAATCATAAACTTTGCCCCTATATACACATGCTATGTATTTTGAAGGCCTGCAATACCCAAGGTAGGTCCATTCTCGTAGAGTTGTGGGATTCCTATAAAACAGCTGTATACGAGTACCTTCAGCAAAGAATTGAAATTTGAGCACACCACTCGATCCAAAAAAATGTTTTATAATCTTCAGAAGCAGTTTTTTATTATATAATTGTAAATTTGGATCAGAGGCTGTGTTGTGTACTAAATATTGATAAACATCTTCATCTTCTGACCTTTTTTGAAGAAATTTTCAAGATATGGGTTTCGTGACGTCATAATACATTGAATAGCGAGAATACATATGCAGTCACCTTCAGTGTCCAAATAAAAAAATAGTTTTTGATTTTTAAATAAAGAAATTTACAGGGCCGAAAAAGCCAAAAAGGTCTTAAAGTGAAACTTTATTGCTCCTTAAAACCCTTTTACCCAAGAATGTTTGATTTGCCAAGTTTGATTTAAAATGGAACATTGCAGCTCCCGAGGGAGAAAAGACAAAACACACACACCCACACACACATATAGACCCACAGGCCCTTTTATGTATGCCTTAAAGAAGACAACATTTTTTTCTTGACATATACTTTAAAATTCTTGTTTTAAATTAACTTTCTTTTTTAAAAAAAACGTAATTGAACTCCGATTGATCAATATTTTCTTTAAATACAACCGTACCATTTAAACCAGGCCCTAACTGTGTCCGATTATACTTGAACAGACTGACGAATAATTCAGATGGGTCGTCAAACAGAGACAGATTCCCGATGGATCGGATATAGAACAGTCTCTAGGAGTAACGAACTCATTCCAGTTTAATACCAGGCGCTGTGATGTATGGGCAGTTACGTCGTGTTAGTAGGCTCCTCAGTACTCTTCGGTCGTTTGTAACACGGCAGCTGAATGTTCATGGCCGTAGGAACCGGGGGGGGCGGGGGGGGGGGCACGGGGGGGTGCCCCCAATAATTTTGCCGATATATAGAATACTATAGAAAACATAGCTACTACATGCTTCTGCCCCCTCAATATAACGTCTCATGACCTTTTTTTTTTTTTTTTTTTGCTTGTTAAGGAATTTTGGTAGTCGATAGTGCCCCCTCAACTGAAAATGTATGGTTGTGCCCCCTCAAAGTGAAATTGCTTCCTACGGGCCTGATGTTAAAGTACACGATACTGTAGACACATCTGGTAAATCAAAAAAATATTGGATTCGGACACCCGAACTATTGGTTTACATGAATGAGGCACCATAGGTCAATTTAACGTTCAGGCATTGTATAATACTCGTATTTGATTAAGACGTAATTATTAATGTTCTATCAATGTTCTATATGTTTTATGCAGCAAATTTGCTTGTTACTTGAACACATATAAGGAGAACTGCCTAAGTTACACCTGTTTATATAATGAATTTTATTGGACCTACTTAATGCAGAAGGCTCATATAAAAAACCTTTATTGCTACTCCTTAATTTTTAAACCGTACTTTTCAATAAAAAGTTAACCTGGCCATATCCGGTCAAATATAATAGTGCGGTGATTTTTTCCTCCCGTAGATCTGGATCTTCTGATCACAATGGATTCAATGCAAGGCGAAGAAGTAGGAAAAAATCATGAAACCAATGATAGTGTGCAAAAACTCATTCATAATTCATAGAATCAGTTATATTGTGTGAGAGAAAGTGTATAGATTTCCACATGGGATTAAAGGTGCAGAAATGGCGTTTTTACAAAGCAAAATGCACTTGAACAAATTAAATCATTGTAAAATGATACACTTTATGACCAAGATGTTTATTTACACAATGTTTACACCAAAACAAAAAAAAATAACCACCACCCCCCCCCCCCAAACAATAACAAAAACCTACAAAAATCAAAGTATTGAAAGTAATTTCCAGAAAGATACTTTATGATAAAGATGATCATTCAACTTTTCTATTGTCAATTTCCCTTATTTATGTCGCAATATAACTTTATCACCTGTATATAGTGTCTATGTATCCCAGTCCATTCCATAAGCATAAGTGTGAACGAGTAATTTCAAGATCGAGGATGCCTACTGAAAAATAAGCTGGTGTTACAAAAGTTTCAGAATCTCGTTTATAGTCAACATTTCGCCAAATCTTTGATTGATACAATGACCATGTTTGCAATTGCAAGCAGTTGTTGAGTTGAATATTGACCGACGCATTTAATACAAATTGTTAATCCATTTTTGGGGTACTGAATTGTCGCAGTCACGGTAGCTCAGTCGGTAGAGCGCTCGCTCCGTGATCGGAAAGTCGTGTGTTTGAATCATGGCTGCGATTGACCTAAGTCGTTAAAAAATAGGTAGCAACTGTTCCTTCGCCAAGCGCTCGGCATTTTGAAGTGAAATTTGCGAGTCCTTCGGATGAGACCTTAAAAACCGAGGCAACGTGTCGCGGTAGGGGTTGACACGATAAAACACCCTCACTGTTCAATGGCCCTAAGTGCAGAGTAAAGGTCTAAATTTGACGCCTTTCACCGGTATATGGTAACGTCTCTAATTTATGGAAAAATTCTCGAACGGGACGTAAAGCAACATACAATCAATCAATGTCCTAGAGCTTTGTCTGTCCGAATTTTCTCAAGCAGAGAGCTACAGTTCTAGCTTTGTCTGTCCGAATTTTCTCAAGCAGAGAGCTACAGTTCTAGCTTTGTCTGTCCGAATTTTCTCAAGCAGAGAGCTACAGTTCTAGCTTTGTCTGTCCGAATTTTCTCAAGCAGAGAGCTACAGTTCTAGCTTTGTCTGTCCGAATTTTCTCAAGCAGAGAGCTACAGTTCTGCAGTTACGGATTACTCTGTATCAAGGAAAAGGGTGCACGGACGGGATGATAGGCCGACAGCGGATGCTTATACTTGCATTTCCCACCTCTGTTTGAGCTGTTTTCAATTTGTATTGTTGAATTGGACATTTGAGATGATCACTGTTTGTTATCTTCATGTTTCATGTTACTGTATCAAGTTATATTATGTTTAATAATTTGACAGTGTATAAGTACACAGTTACATGTAGCACGTTAGTTCACAAGAACACTCAAATTAGAGCAATTTCAATAAATTTAAATACATCCTAGTTA